TTTAAAAATTTCGCAAGCCCGGCCTGTGCTAAATGACAGCCTCAAACCACAGACTCTGAGGTGTATTGCCAAAGAATCACCTTTATTAGATGTAACAAATCAGTTCGTTTTTGCCCCATCCTCCTGTAAATGAACTAGAAATGAACATGTCCTTTTTAATCGTATATTATTTGTACGCACAGTCTTCAGTCAACAAGAAGTATGAGAAAACAATAGCTGAACCAACATAAATGTCCTTGAAAGCAATTTGGTTTGTCATATGATCAGAGGAAAATACATGTACATTCTGCCTTATCTATAAAGTTCCTGATAAAGCTCTGAAATAAGCCTTTTTCTACAGTGTGACAGACTCTGACATTTCACTATCCCCCAGCCTAACATAATGCACGGAAACGCAACTTAAATAGACTGACATTTGGCTATGTCCACACACTGCCTCCGAGCACAAAAAAGGCACAGAAACTCAGTTTCCCCATCAAGCCTAGGGGGCTGGCCGCATTGCATCTTCTGACCTTTTCTGGGCGTACTGGGCCGATCTAGTGACACCTGGGACAGTCTCAGCTGCCACACACCCCCCCTTCCATGAATGAAGCTCTAGGAGGAACAGAGGAGGTTGACATTTCAAGGTTTTTCTCTCGGGGTGACTGACGTTGTTACAGGCTAGGCACAATCAGGAGGCTTTAGCAGGGAAAGCTATCTGGCTAATTGCTTTAGAACAGCCAGGATTGCTGTGAATCAACTGAAAAGTGATACTGTCACACTGCCAGGCAAAATCAGGTGTTTGCGCACTTTTTCCTTTCTTGAAAAGTCACAAATCCATTAAATTTTTCCCTCCAACGACCAAGCACAAAATTTCACCTGACATTTTATTGGATCTACAGGTATTTCTCACTCATCACTTCCATCTTGCAACATTTCCTGGAATTTACATGAATTAAATTCCAGATTTCCCAAGGGAGAAGATTATGTGCAGTGCATGTTCTTGGAAGTACCCGTAATTTACATTTGTGTCTTTAGAGAGCAAGTGTAAAGCACCAAAGCGTGATGTCATTTGAACTACCAGTAGGAAATGTAGTGCAAATGAATGAAGTACACGCACATGTTGGTTCACACGCTGGTTTTCTCATTAACACCTGTCATACACATATGGTAAATGTGCATGTGACATATTCACTTTGGTACTTACAGTAGTTCCAATGAAAACACGGCCTATCAACTGTCTTTCACGACTGCCACGCTCAAGTACAAATACTAATACCCGTACTACAAAGATAAATGCAAAATCTTTAAGAACAGCTAAAGGCCAACACTGAATTTGGAACCAAGTCTCCATCAGTCTGGTACCGTTGCAAGCATGGAGAGCCACCATGTCCTGTACATGCAACTATAAAGCTAATCACTAGATCAACATGACAAACATGTGACCATTGGGTCAACATGACAAACTGATATCAATATTTCTGTTCCACGGGACACTTGGCCTGTACCTTAATGTTTTTTCCTTGAACAGAATCCGCTGCTGAAATCCAAAGCAAGCCTCACTTTACAGGACGGTACAATGTACATGTACGTTAGGCCTTTGCCACTAGTGCGACTCATTCACAACTTTGAATGCTTTGTGTGGAACCTCAAGTGCTCTGTTGTTGTACTCACTTAAGTTTCAGTACACTAGCAAATTGTTGCATCTCATTCCATATTAGCAATGTAACTTTCACACTGTTTTCAACAGTATGCATTCTTCTCTCAACTAAAGGCATACCGGTCTTGTGTTCAAACTGAAAAAAGCATCAGTCCACTGAAATCATTTGCATAACGCGAACTGACGAAAAGTATCTAATGAAATCGTTCATCACAAGTAACATTGGATATGAAAGATCGCCAGTGAGTGTCTCAAGGAATGCCTTGTAAAATGGAACAAGGACGACATGGCCAAGCAGGAGTCCGAGGGAGAGGTCATCAACGAAGAGCTACTAGTAGAGGAAGACAACCGGCACCCACTTTGTCCAACGAGATATGAGCAACTCTCATTGATCACGATCATGGGCGAACACAGGGGAAGAACGAGTGGAACCCATGTCCCTAGGTGTACTGCAGCATCAGTCATGTGGGTTATTTCAAAATGAGAGTCGGTAAGCAGGAGAGACATGTATAGTATTACTCTATACATATTATACGTACATGTATAACTTGCAATGTTGTGAGATTCATTCAAAATCTTGTTTGTATTCTGGTCTTGCAACTTCTGTGTTTTATTCATTTGTATATTTACAGATCCGAGAGGAGGATGCAGCAGTGAACATGATTCTGGAAAACAACATCATCCGTCTGAGAAAAATCCAGACAAGGGTAGTTGAGGACAATGACGTCTTTGCAAATACCCCAAGCAGTATTTTGAGTATCATTTATTGAAACCTGAAAAGAAGACTAATTCAAATGAAACAAGTCACCAGAGTGTATTATGAGCAAAACAGCATCAGAGTGAAGCAGCAGAGTTACCAAAACATGTATGTTCAAGTAAGTCAATTATCCAAACATAACGTAGATAAATGTATCCAACCTCAGCAATCTCATCCAAGCTGCTACATGTACATGCAATTTGGTGTTTGGTCTTTTTCTTTTTTTGAGAATAAATTATCTGGACACACGAGCAGAAAGAGTCAAATACATTTACGTGGATGAAGCTGGTTTCAGCCTAAAAAAGAGACAACAGCGAGGCCGAAATGTCATCGGACAGTGAGCCACCGTACACCTGGTCAGCATGGGGAAATATCACCAAGTGTGCGGCAATTTCAAGAAATGGTGTCATCACTCACAGGGCTGAACTAAGTCCATGCAACTCAGAAAGACTGACTCCATTCTTGGAGAGCTTGCATGAAACTCTTATACCATTAGAAGGGAGCGGTCTTGATGATCAAGGGCTGGCAACATTTCCATCATGTGGGACAGATTCAACCATGCGGCTCTTGTGCATGAATGGTTTGATGCTTATGCCAGATTTACCATGATCTTCCTGCCACCGTATTCTCACTTCCTAAACCCAATCGAGGAGTTTTACTCCGCTGGATGCTGGCGGGATCTATGATCATAATCCATATCAGAAAGTCACTCTTCTTCAAGCCATGGAAGAAGCATGCGAAGACATCGACGAAGAGGCATGTCTGTCCTAGATCCGCCATGCAAGACACTTCTTCCCCAGATGCCTAGCAAGACATTTGCTGTGACGTCGATGAGCACATGTGGCCTGACAGTGACAGAAGTGATCGCCTGGGTCTTCTGTAAAGCATTATGCAAACTACTTTTCCATTTTCACATGCAAATGCCTCAAAGATGAACTCTTTGTTGGCAATGATTAACCAGTGTGTGGTTTTTATTGTTGGAATGATGCTGAATGCAGACACTGAATTAAAGAGAGAGAGGTCATATAATTTGAAACTTCTATGTTGTCATAATTTCTTCTGTTTCTCAGTGTTTGTCAGTGGACGTTAGCGATCTGTTGAAAGTCTGCTCAATTTGACGGTGGTGTGAGCTTTTGCAAAGTTTCTTGAAATTTGAATATGACCTTTCATTCCGGCATGAATATTTGCAGGTTAGGTTAACATATGCAATGCTACAGGAATCAGGTTATTTGTTTGATGAATAGGTATAAGGATACGGTAACTGTATTAAAGTGATTGATAAAAACTGTAATTGTCAATGACAAATGATTTCAAGGCCTTGCTTGAAAAGTTTAAGATACCGGTAATCGCTAAACCAGGTAGTGTAAATATTACGTTCTGCTGCTTCACTGTTAATCAAGTACAGGATATGGTGTTACAGTTATGGTCTAGTGAAATCACATTTTTCTAATAATCAATACATGTACAATGTACATGTATAACCCCCAAACAAAATAAAGTCATATTTAGCCAGTAACCGATTCCGGTCTTGTTGCTTTTTCTCTTAAATGGTCTTGTGTATTCAAGCAAAAATAATTATTGTTTTTATTTCATTTTTATCAACAGATTAGTATCTGTATTAATTTTTGCAATTATATTATTTACAATCTATTTGACATCAATTTTTATTGAGATTTCTTTGTTTTAAATTGTAATATTAGGATGATGTTTTATAGCACAGTGTATGTGGAAAGACATCTGTCACATTTTACCTTTGAATTGTGATGGAATAAACATGTTCAACATAATGTACAATGTACATGCATTGATTCCCATGTACAAGACAGCGGACGAAGACATAAATAGATTATCAACGAGGCAGCAGTGACCATGGGTAGCTGTGTCACAATGTGTCTGTTTGCAATGATGTATCACAACATGACACCCAAATTTATAAAAATCCTCATTCAAAACCAACTACAGTTACGAGCTACAAAAATGAAAATTATCTTTAGTAACTCCTTATACATGTACCTCCGTGAATCTTTTGCTGGTGATTGCATGAGATTGTGTAACATTCACAAGCACATGTAGGAATCCAGCATTAGAGCAGAGCAGGCACTCAAAATTAGATAATTTTCAGCCTTCAGGTACAGTGGAAGCAACAAACCCCTTGCAGTTGGGAATTGAGAAAAATAACTTTCCTTTCACATGGCAAAGCCCCATTGAAAACACATGAAGTGCAATCCTTCTACTGAAAAACTAAGGCCGTGTCCAAAACGGGCTTCCAGGGCTACGGCTACGGCTATTGTCTGCACGTCTCCGCATATTTCCAATGGAATGAAGACCTGTATAGACATGCAGATTAATTTTCCAAATCTTGACTTCCCCTTTTACACTGGCTCTTCCCTAGATCCAGATTCAAGTTTCAAATGTTTGGGATTAAACCACATGAAAAATACGCCAAGCTTTAGCCCAGACTTTACAACGCAATGTTCTATCAGAGTGAGCAGAAAGGTCTCAACACAAGGAGCAAACTTTGTGATATTAAAACTTCAAGCCAAAGCCAGGGGCAAAGATCAAAATTGGAAAAGCCCCCCCCCTTTACCCCCTGACAAACCTTACCTTAAGAATGTCAGCTGCTATGTATTCCATGACAGCCACAAGATAGAGGGAGACCTGGGAATCCACCCGGTAACCAAGCCCCTCCTTGAAAGACAAATGTTCACAACAAATTGATGAAGACAGATAATGGTCATCTCAAGTTTCTGAGTGAGAGTTTCACAAAGTAATTATCACAGATGATAGAACTGGTTTGGTTATAAAATGTAAGAAAATCTGCATCTGAAGGAAGTTCATTAAAACTCTTTTAGCATCAAAGAGATGAAGTTTTTAAATATTCCCCTCTGTACCAATTTTAAACAGGACACAAGATTTTTCACTGAACAAGTTTTGTTTTCACTGAACAAGTACATTTTGTGAACATATGGTTGGCTACCAGGGCAAATCAAATTTAGTTGAACTCATTTAACCACTTCCTGCCGGGGATTCCGAATCCAGACATGTATGCTTTATACGCGTGGCCGGGGTCTCCGAACTCGGACAAAGGGAACAGGGCTTTGTAATAAAAGACCGTACTCGGAACAAAAGACCAGGCTGCTGGGCATTACCGACATTTTCACTCTCAAAAGTGGAGATAATCCAGCCTTGTTTTGAAACAGTATACCACGGTTTGGGGCACTTAGAGCAAGCGGATTACCACCAGGGACAAAAGCGCTCTACCATCACAGCGATGAGCCACACAGCACTGCTGCATGCTAATCTGGTCCCTATTGAAGAGGTCAGCATCGCACTGAGCCAGGTTCATGAACAAAAGAAAGTTATATAAAACTGCACAATCTGGGCTCTTTTTACAACGCTGCAGGCCTGGCTTACATAT